GAAGTATTAGAGATTGAACCTGGTGGGGGACTAGTATTGTGGTGCAAGCTAACCCTTATGACACAAACATCCCTTCTCAGAGTGCTGGTTCCAGTCCTAGCTGCTCCACTTCAGATCTAGCTCCCTGCTAACAATGCATCTTGGAGGCAGCAGAAGATGGCCCCAGCGCTTGCATCTGTGCCATCTACTTTGGAGATTTGGATGGAGTTCCAGGTCCCTGGCTTCCCTCTGGTCCAGCTTCAGCCACTGTGGTCATTTGGGCAGTGAACCAGCAGATAGATGGAAGATCGTTCTCCTCCCACACCAACCCCCATCACTCTGTCTTTCAAACAAATAAAATCAATCTGAAAAAGGTGGGGGGGGGTGAAATCTGTTAGGAATGGAAGCGAAAAATTAGAGAAGAAGGGCTGGTCTGCCCATGTGAACTGCTGAGTGAACAGTGCCACTGGGGAGAGGAAGAGGAAGGAGGCAGAGCTGCTTCTGACATTCCAGGGGCAGCAACAGCCAGGTAGGCTTCTGCCTATCCAGAGTTTGCAGGTGAGGTTTAGACTGAAACAGAACTTCAGGAGGTCCACACATGGAGTTGGTATCTTTCACAACTATAGGACAGGGAGAGAATACATGGGAAGAGAGGAGAGAAGAGAGGAGAGGCCCCAAGGTGGCCCCACGAAGAACTCTGGAATCTAATGGTTCAGTAGAGGAGGAGGAGCATGCAAACCAGAGGAAAGCAGCCAGCAGAGGAGAACAAGAGGGTGCGTAGTAACGGAAGCCAAGAAAGGAGAATATCCCAGGAAGACAGGGGTGGCCGGCAAGGTCAAAGGACACGCAGAGTTCGGCAGCACCCAGGTAGCCCACAGGACTCCCATCATGCTGACAGAACTGGAAATACACTGGTGTGCATTAGAACTTCAGAACTGGGAAAACAGGACATAAACAGGTCTGCAGGAACTATCGAAGTTAACTCGGAAGTTAAAAATCGACACACTCTACCTCAGCCAGTCACACGAGGTTTTTGGCTAATAAGTTCTATCAGACCTTCAAGACAGCGCTAACTCCTGTCTCATATAAACTGTTTCAGAGAGCTGCGGAGACAGGGAACATTCTCTATTTTATGAGGCTGTCATAACCTCATCATGTTTGGTTATGTTATAACCAAAATCAGACAAGGGTTTTATGAGAAAGAAAAATTATAGGCCAGTCTCATTTCAGTTCACAGATGCAGACAATCTTAAAAATTAGCAAATCAAATCCAATAATGAAGGAAAAACAATACATCATGGCTAAGTAGAGTTTACCCTGGAAGGCAGATGGCTGAACATTAGAGAATGTAGGAAGCACATGGAGTGTGGGAGCCGAGGGTGGCGGCCTTGGAGAAACGGCGCTGGTGCTCTCTGCTCCCATTCTCTCCCGGAGGAGGGACTCTCCTGACAGATGGCTTTCAAGGGCAAGCCCGACAGACAGCCGGGATGCTTGGCGCAGCCCTCGCCTGGTTTCCTGCGGAGGAGCCCGAGGAGCCGTCGGCCTGGCCCTCAGTGGTGTGGCTAAGGGGCTGCCTCTGTGCGGATGAGCCTTTGCATCTCCCATTCCCATCGCAGGGATGAGGAGGATGTTTAATGTTGAGTGATGTCTTTGCAAGTCACTTTATTACAGATCTAAAGCCACATCTTCCAAGCAGTTTTATCAGCAATAAAGCTGACATTTTGATTTGTTTTAGGCTGTCTCTAGTTTCCTCTCCCTCAAATACTTCCAAATGTTGGAAAAAAAGGGGTGGTTAGTTATTGGGCATCCTCAAAGGAGACTTAGAGAAATGTTACTTGTAGTAACTAGGAATTCAGCTCTAGCCCATGGACAGACACATCTGACAATGGAAACAGATCTGCCTACAGAAGGAAACTTGGGAAATAAGTGTACTCAAGAAGTTTGTAGAAAATGGCATGCAAACCTAAGGGTTTTTTTTTTTTCTTTTTCTGGTGCAAAAGGTTCTGAAAATTTTTGCATCATTTTTCCACAAGACACATTTTCCATGAACTCTTTGAAGTACCCTTGGCATGAAAGAGATGGCATTATCACTCGTGGAGAAAAGACAGGCCTTTCACTAGCTTAGAGACCATTTGCTATCTGCACTTTGAGAAAATTCATTTGGCTAAATTAGGTGGTGCTGTGAGCCACCTCTTTCCCATTATGTGGGGATATTTGCCATCTGTGTGGAACACTTCTCATGAATTATATGCCTTGTTTCCAGTTGGACCACAAAGCCCTCGAGGGTAGGGTCTGAGTCTGTGACCTGTGGTTTCTCTCCAGAGAGCCCATCACAGGGGTTTACACAGACATGATGTGAATGCATGTCTTCTAGATCACTTTCATTATTATCACTATTAGTGCTGTCCTTTTGCATTAAGACTCAATTCCTCAAGGTCCTGAGGGCCATATCGGCATCAAGCTCTGGTAATTATTTTGATATTCTGAGTATAATTCTTTAAACAATTTGTCTGTTTGCTTAATAGCAATCCTATATAAAATTGGCCGTCTGGTGGCCAGGGCTGTGGTGTAGTGGGTAAAAAGCCACTCTGCGATTTGGGCATCCCATGTGGGTGCCGGCTCAAGTCCTGGCTGCTCCGTTTCTGATCCAGCTCCCTGATAATGCACTTGGGAAAGCAACAGAAGATCACTCAAGTGCTGGGTGCCCTGCACCCATGTGGGCAATCCAAATAAAGTTCCTGGTTCCCATCTGGCACAGCCCCAGCCATTGTAGCCAATAGGTTAGTGGACGGATGACCTCTCTCTTAGTCTCTCTCTCTGTGTAATTCAGAGTTTCAAATAAATAAATCTTAAAAAAAATAAGATCTAACATCTGTAATTTGTCATTTTGAAGGTCACATGGGATCAAAATCAAAAGTCAAAGTAAAGACTGACCATCAAAATCACTTGCTTATCGTTTCACGGGCTACCTATGGCACAGAAAAAAGGGAACCAATATTGCACCTCTCTTCCCCAAAATAGTTTTTTTTCTTTTTAAGAATTGATTTGAATGGCAGTTACAAAGTGACACACATTAATCTTCCGTCCATTGGTTCACTTCCCAAATGGCTACAATAGCCACGGTTGGACCAGGAGCTTCTTGAGTTTCTTCCAACATCTTCCGTGTAGGTGCAGGGGCCCAAGCAGTTGGGTCATCCTGTACTTCTTTCCCAAGCATATTAGTAGCGAGTTGGATTGGAAGTGGAGCTATATCCACATGGAATGCCAGTGTTGCAGTTAGTGACCTAATCCACTCTGACACAATGCCAACTCCCATCAAATAGTTTTTCTGTTTAACATCTGACTTCATTTTTATAACAATCAAGTGGGAATAACAGGACAGAATTACTGTGGAGAAAACCATGTTTTAGAAATGAGGACTTCAGGCCCACCACAATGGCTCAATGGCTACATCCTCACCTAGTATGTGCTGGGATCCCATGTGGCTACCAGTTCACTTCTAAGTTGCTCCACTTCCCATCCAGCTCCCTGTTCGTAGCCTGGGAAAGCAGTAGAGGATGGCCCAAAGCCTTGGGCCCCTGCACTCACGTGGTAGACACGGAAGAAGCTCCTGGCTTTTGGCTTCAGATTAGCTCAGCACCAGGTGCTGCTGCCACTTGGGGAGTGAACCAGGTTATGGATTGTCTTTCTATCTCTGTAAATCTATCTTTCCAATAAAAAGAAATAAATATTAGAAGGAAGAAAGGAAGGAAGGAGGAAAGTAGGCAGGCAGGAAGGAAGGAAATGAGGACTTCAAACCCCACAGCAGATTAGAACTGAGAAAAGAAGCTAATGCCCCCAGAGGAGGCCGTGCTACTTCTGACAGTTGTCTAACTCTAATGGACTGATTTCCACTCACATCACATGGCTTGGTAAGTTAATGCCATCACCTGAGTATTCGAGAACTAAGTGGTCAGAATTAATAGCATTTCCTTTATTTTTAAGTTAACTGAATCGGTTGAGCAGTTCAGATGCAACTGATTTGCCCTCTCCTCTCTGCTTTGTCAAAGGGTCATGCATGCGTGTGTGTGTGTGTGTGTGTGTGTGTGTGTGTGTGTGTGTGTGTGTGTGTGTGTGTGTGTGTGTGTGTGTGGGAGTGTGTGTGTGTGTGTGTGTGTGTGTGTGTGTGTGTATGAAAGGCAAAGCAAGAGAGAAAGGGAGGGGGAGAGAGAAAAAGGGAAAGGGAGGGAGGCCAGGAGAGAGAGAGAGAGAAAGAGAAAGAGAGAGAGAGAGCAATCTTGACCTATTGGTTCCCCATACAAATGGCCAAGTTTGGGCTAGGCCAAAGCCAGCAATCCAGGTCTCCTACCTAGGTGGCAGTGACACAAGCACTTGTGCCAACACCTGCTGTTTTCCAGGACACATTTAATAAGCAAGCTGCAGCAGAGAGCTGGATCGGAAGTAGAGGAACCATGAGTAAAACCAACACTCAGGTATCGGATGTAGGTATCCCAGGCATTAGCTAAACCAACACCTGCAATGACGTGTCTATCTTAGCAAAGAACTGCTTGCTCACGGTACAACATGTGCTGACATCAAATATAAGAAACAGTGTAGATTGCATCTCTCGGTCTTGGACGAGGTTCTGGCAGCTTGAACTACCTCCTGTCTGCTTCCCTCCCTTAATGCTCACAGTCACTGGCTCTGATTCTCATTCCATAGCCAGGTCCTTCATTTGTTCTTTGGGAAGCCCTTGGGCTCTGCATGTCTTATTTTGGCAGTCTCCCTGTCTGTCTCAGCCGTTCACTCAAGGACTGCCTGCCGAGACAGCTCCTCCCTGTTCATATGACATCCTCTTCGCCCTTAGCCAGACTGGAGTTTAGATCTACCCAAGAATGATGGCTGCCTTTCCCTTTCTTCTCAGATGTCTCACTTCAGAGAAACCTGAGGAGGCAGGAGTGGAGCAAGGTGGAAGTTAAGGAGGTTTTTCAGAGTTATTAACCACATGATGGTTTCTGGTTATTAGAGCTAAAAGTACTCACCACCTGACCATTAGTCCATGTTCCATGAAGTTTTTCAGGTTAGGAAGGGTTTGCCTCAAGTCTGGAGTCCCTAGTCCATGTTGGTATCTTAGCTGCAAAGGTAGAAGAAAATAATTAAAAGAAAATTTGGCAGATTCTAGATAGTTCTTCAGGAAAATAAACCACTAAACAAATGAATTATTGAACACAGAAATAAGAAATGGAAATGTATGATCTGGATATCAATCACCCTGTTGGAAGGGAATTTAAAGTGGCCCCCTTGTCTGTCTCCTTTGCCTCTTAAAAATAGATAAGCCTCACAGTGGTCAATTGTGGAGCCAGGATATTTCCAAGACTCCCGTATTTTAATCTTCTTTTCTACTCCCCAGCCCCAGGAAGGCTTGTTAATCCAATTCCAAGGACATAGGCACTAAGCCCAGTGTTTCAGTTTAGATCCTGGCAGCCTCACTTCCTTTGTACTTGTATCAACATGGCAAGGACAATCTTGGATTCATCTGTGATTCTAATGGTGTCTGGCACAGGGCTGGGGCTCAGCCAGTGTTTATCAAACAAATAAACAGCAAGGTATTTTTGACAGAGGCCACGTCTGTGTTTGTCTTGCATCTCTAACTCCTCCTTGTCCAGAACCAGAGCACATGGTTAGAGCACTTGTATGAGGAGACCACTGGCTTGTGGCTGCAGCAGTCCTTGGTTGCGTTCGTTTCTGCCAAAAGTGATTTTCTCAGATGAAGCATCCTCCTGTGCACCTTGGATGATCTGCTGAATGCTTTTCATCTCCCTCCTTTCAGTCTCTGAATGTCAACCACAATGGACAGTGGGGGCAAGTGGCTGTCCACATTCGTACACATCCTCAGCTGCACACCAGCTACACAGAGTACAGACAGCACATCCCAGCCAGACTGGTTTTCCAATGGCCTAGTCACATGATGGAAGTGTGTAAACTTTTTAAACCCCATGTTCTGGTGTGTAAATGATAAGGGACATCAACCTTTTGGCTTCTACTTTTTAACATGAAAATTCAGGAATGGCTAAGTCAAGGTTTTTAATATTTTCCTTTGTTAAAAACCAAAACGGGGGTAGGTGTCTGGTGCAGCAATTAAGATGCTGCTTGGGATGCCTGCATCACATGTTGGTGTACTGCACCAAGTTCAAGTCCTGGCTCAGCTCTTGTTGCAGTTTCCTGCTGACATCACCCAGGGAGGCAGTAGACTGCTCAACTGCTTGGTTAAACTAAAAGGTATCTTAGACTTTACTTAAGTCAATATTTTCTTTTTTGTTTTTTTTTTTTTAAGATTTATTTTATTTGTATTGGAAAGGCAGATATATAGAGAGGAGAAGAGAAATAGAGAGGATGATTTTCTGTCCACCATATCACTCCTCAAGTGGCTAGGAGCTAGGCTGAGCTGAACTGAGCTGATCTGAAGCCAGGAGTCAGCAGCTTCTTCCAGGTTTCCCACACGGGTGTAGGGTCCTAAGGTTTTGGGCAGTCCTCCATTGCTTTCCCAGGGCACAAGCAGGGAGCTGGATGCGAAGCAGAGCTGCTGGGATTACAACCAGTGCCCATATGGGATCCTGGCTCGTGCAAGGCGAGGACTTTAGTTGCTAGGCTACCACACTGGGCCCAACCTTTGCTTTTTACAGATGAGGAAACTAAAATCAGAAAAAGGAAGTAGATTCTCTTGGGGCCACGCCACTCTACCAGCTTTCCCAAAGTCTGGGCAAAAAGCTGGCAATGGTACTTGAGAAGACAGAGGGAAAATACTTGTTTCCTGTTTCAAATCCAGCTTGGTGATCTAAATCACCTCCCGAGATTTGCTGACCTTGAATTATAAGATCTACCCCATATTAAATGACATCATTCCTTGTATTAATATAAAAGCATTTTCCCCCATACATTGATAAAAGTAAGATGGCTGATATCCCAATATGACATTCCTGAATTCATTGTTTCCATAAAAAAGTGAAATTGTTTACACATGGCATGGAAATTTCACCTGTGATTCATACTGAAAAATATTAAATATAAAAAAACCCATACTGAAATAACACCAAGCTATGTGTCTCCAAGCCAGTACACAGGCAACCGTCTGCTCCAGGCTCCACAATGGAAGGTGGGTGTTGAATTCTTTTCAGAGACCACAATGAAAATTTCTCTCCAAGTCCGATTTCAACCAAACCAAAAAAGGAAGATGTGAGATTTTCAAGCCTCCACCCAAGTCTTAACTCTTCATTTGCTGAATAGCACTCTTCTCGTTTTCTTTTTCCCTCTTTCTTTTTCCCCCCTACAACCCTAGGATTTTACAGCTTAAAGAGCTTTGGAGATCATCTTCCCAACCTTTTACAAATGAGGGAATGGTCAAAGAAAGCTAGTATCCTGCCCAGAGCCAGAGAGGTGGTAAGGGGACAACACAAGGGGGCAACCTCCCGGTGACAGTTCTGAATTCTTTCTGTCATTCACTTAACACAGAGAACACCACCACCCAAAGAATGGCGCACACAAAACATGTACTAATTAATGTTATTAGTAAAGCATGGGTAAACAGCATTTCTCTGCTCTTCAGGATTATAATTTTTTAGTCACTTCTGATTTCCCTCTGTATTTGGTTAATATTTGGTTAATATCACTTTGGTTAATATCTCTCATCCTCACCCTGATTTCAGATACGGCCTCCTATTCTCCTACTAGGAACCAAGAGATTTGGCTCCTTTCCTCCTCACACAAACATTCAACCCACTCATCCATATATCATTTAACTGATTTCCAAATGAAAATGTGAGAATTTGACTCTCTACCTTGTATATATACTTTCCCGGGTATCACCCTCTAGTTTTACAAACCAATACTTAGCATCTGCCTCATTATACCTAAGTAAGTCATGGAATGCTTGTTTTTCTAGAAATGGTAACTGCCACTCTCCTCCCACCTGTCTCACTAGATACTTCCTGAACTCTGACAGAATCTTGTAAACTCCTCTCAATCTGATTCCTGTATCATCTAACCTGCCAGTCCACACTGCCCTTAGAGATCTACTTCCCCAAGTCACTCCACTTCTCTGGCTTTCCAGTTTTCTTCCTTATCAAATGAGGATGACAACTGTCTTGTAGAGCACTTGTAAAGTTTAAATATGATAAAGCATACAAGGTGTGAAAATCAGTATGTAGTACAGTTAAGTGCTCAATACATAACGTATTATAGACAATGTATATATGCATATATATGCAGATACACACAAATACACATAGATACTATATCATCATCAAGCATTGGGCCTTGGGCTGGACATAAATCTGGTGTTCACACCTATGGAACTAAATAGTGTTTGTTTATCATCATATAAAAGTTAAGCTGCAGATGTGTAGATTACTGACTTTGAAACTGTAAAGCTATCATTATTTTCCAACAGTATTTATTGTTTCATTCTTAGTTTTTTTTTTGAAAAATATTAGATAATTTAACATTCCTTTACATCCTATTAACAGCTTTGAATCTGGGGTACAAGAGATTTTTTTTTTCTCAAAAAGGGCTTCATAATTGCTATTTTTAAATCATGGTTAGGAATCTAGTTATAATCAATAAATGTTAACAGTTTATGAACTCCCATGTCAGGCTGGCAGTGGCTGGCTATGCATATTAAAACTCATTGCTATTTTCTCTCAGTAACATGCAACATCATGTTTTTGGTTAGAAGGTATGATTAGAAAAAATATGAAAGATCACGTAAAACAAAGCCAGTTTTATTTTTTCCTACCAGTGGCTTTTCTTCATCTTACACTCGATCTTAGCCAAAAGGCTGAGAAGCAATTCCTTCATCTCAAAACTCCAAGAACATTCTAATGCACAGTGAACAATTGTTTATAGCATTTCTACCAACTGTTTCAATTGCATATTGGTCCTGGCATTTCTTGGCACCATGGTTCCATATTCTTTGTAATGTGTTACTATTTGTGAGTTTTTTTTTTTTAAATAGTAAGTGGGACTATAAGTGTAGATATATGTCAGTACTGAGTTCTCAAATCCACAAACTTCTGGTTTCCATTCAAATCTTTCATTCTGTTTTTTTTTTCCTGAGTAGCAAAGTAATTTTATTTTCTAAAAATAAAAATATTTTCCTATACTCCCTCAAAATGTGAATACTGCATTTCAAAGGACTGTATCACATCCTTTTTTTGCTGAAAATACTGTAGACACAATTATCTTATTCAGTTTTGTTGTAAACTGACTTATAAAATGCACTGTTATTATGCTTTCCAATGGGTGCTTGATATAATAAAGCTTTAAAAAAACCCTGGTGCTCAATAATGGTTTATCATTTAACTAGTTAGAATGAGAATCAGAAAATGGAGTGAAGAATCACTTCAAATTAAAGGGAACATCTTAAATATACTGTTTTGTAACTGCTCATTGTAACCAAGCTTCTGACTGCAAGTACTCCCGAGAGGCAGCAATAAACACTATCCATGCCAATACATTTAAAAATAATTACACAGTAAAATGGGAAGACTGACACCTGCCATGTGGCCCTGCACAAGTTCCTTCCTTGCTTGGCCTGGGCAAACAGTTGCTAAACTTTTTGAAAGGAGTCTTCAGCAAGTGATTCCCTGGTGTAGTATTTCTAATAGAAAGGAAGACAAGGAACCTGGCCAAGGAGAAGGAGGAAAAAAATTTAGGAGTGGAAGAAAGAACCATAGTTGCTGTTCCTAAGGTGCCCTACTCATTCATTCCTCTTGCATGTCTGCTAGGCAAGGTACTGTAATCACAACCAGCTCTGTCTTGGAAACAATAGATCTGGACTCAGTCTATTCCTGCGATATATTGTGTATAACCTTGAACAAGTTACATAACCAATCCGTACTTTGTCTATAAAACAGGACATACGATATTTGTCTGCTAAGGTGGTTGTGAAGTGCTCAGCTAGACTTTCCATTGCGGCTGGAAGAGCTGGAGACACGACTTTGAGAGGGGAGCTATGAAAACTGCTGAGGGCCTGCAGCATCAGCCCAAGAGCTCTGATGCTACCTGCCTGCTTGCTAGTAATAATCTACTCCTGGGCTTTAAGCAGGGGCATGAAGGAGAACAATCCAGAGGCAGCAG